AGCTTCAGCTTTTTATAGGTTAAAACAAGTTTTTCCTCAAATTACTGATTAATCATTCAGTCATTAAAACTCTCTGGGACAAACAAAAAACAAACAAAGACCTAAGATGACATTTTCAGTTTTGTTACAATCTGAAGAGTAATTATCTCCCAAAGCCTGCAGAGAGGCCCGAGAAGCAGGCGTCTGCTCTAAAGTGTGTGATGTAGTGTTGATTTAAAACCACATTTACAACTTTGCAGACGGTGATTATAGAAGACGTCCGGGCAGCAATTTGGCCTTGCACAGTTGCAGAAAGGGTTCTTCAACAGAAGCAAACTGTGTGTCAGGAACAATCTGCCACGGTGCCATGCTTCTGATCAGTGCCTGAGTTTTACCAGCACAGGAGGGTTACTCTGTAGTCCACCCTAAAATCAGCGGCCAACAAAATAATTAACTTTTAATTAATATTTATGGCATTCAGTCTGCCCCAGGCAACAGAGTTTTGTTACTTCTGTCCATCAAGGTCGTGTCTTTATGTTGGCTTCCAGCACTGAGGAAATGAAACACTCATGGGTCCTGCTTGTGGCGACTGAGGAAAACAGAACGCTGCACTCTTTTCTTTTGGTTATTTCACTGTCTGATTATGTAAAATGTTCCAAATAAAACTTTTTTAGAGCTACTAAGTAGCTGACTCACAGCACAGAAGGTGGCAAGAGGCACACAATATATAAATAAAAAATACCTTAGTGATCATTAGAGGAGCCACAGTGTTGGTGTGGAAGTTTTCTATCATCATCTCGGCGGTAACAGAATGAAAGTCGGCCTCCACTTTGATGCCCGCATTGTTGATCAGGCAGTTCAGACCTTCTTCTTGCACCAGCTTGCTCACCTCTTCTACAGACTTCTCTATGCTCTCCTGGTTCACTACGTCTAGTAAAGAGACATAAACTAATCAAAGCTGAACATAAAAAAAAAATCATGCAACACTCGCAGCAACAAGAAATTGGGGGCTAAAGAATCATAAAAGGACAAGGTGATCATGAAATGTGGCTCAGATCTTAAATACAATGAATTGCATTAAACCATGTGATTGGCTGATTAGATATTTACAATAACAAGCAGTTCAACGGGTGTATCTAACAAAGTGGCCGATGGCTTGTCGTAAAGACTGTGACTTTGTGTTTTAATTTTTCCTAAATTCTTTCTGTCTATACACAGAAAACAATGTTCTTCTCAGTCTTACCCAAAGTGATTATGTGGATGTTGGGATGCTTCTCCGCCAGTTCTTGAAGTTCCTGTAGGTCAAAAGCACAGTTGGATAGCGGTGAGGGAGGATGTCTTGATCCTGTTTATTTCTACGTTAACTGAGGGGCGTACTACAAACCAAGCTCACGATAGCCAGGGTCTGTTTGTGTTAGCTGCCTCAAGAAAACCTTACCGGCTATGACCAAAATTGGTTTCCAACTTTCTCTGGTAACAAAGGCTTTCTGATTCAGACACTGTGCATATTTTCTGATGCAAAAGACCAATTTCCAATTATTAGCAGCACTTACAGCAATGTGACAAATACACAGGTTGTTTATGCAAATTGCATTTCTTCCTCAGAAAATCCATAATCACACTCAGAGCATATTGTCAAGAAAAGTGAAAATGTATCAATTTCAAACCACCACCTTTGTGACATTTAAAATTCAGACTCAACACGACTTGCTAAATTAGAAATCCTGCTTCATAGTACAGCCCTCTGGTGACCATCAGTGTTTGCTCAAAGGAGGAGACTAACTGGCCAGTGTACTTTTTTTCCTTACTTGAATGTCAACATGTTTGCCTTGTCAGTGGAGTGTTGTTTGAACATGTCACCTAAAAGAAATGTTGCTGTATTTTTGATGCTGCATAAAGACACAAAGGCTGCTGATAGGATAAGGATACAAAGGCATAATGACAAGTAACACAATGTGAGATCCCACCAGACAAGCTCTCTCTCACGCACAGATT